GACTTGAATGAGAACGGCCGCTTGCTGCATATCATACGAGGAGCGCACGACGGATCGGCATCTTGTATACAATGGATTCCTGGACAACCGATCTTAGTCAGTTCGGGAGATGATAATAGTTTAAAGGTCGGTCTTTCTTGATCGTTTCTCTGTAAATACTAACGAAAATTCAGCAATGGGTATTTGATTCACCTGACGTACCCCCTCGTCTCCTGAAATTCCGGTCTGGTCACCATTCTCCACCCCATCTTATTCGATATTATGGAGAGGACGGGAAGCAAATACTTACTGCTTCTCATGATAGGAGTTTACGGTGTACATCAGTGGTTAGAGATTCAAGGAGTTTTGAACTATCTCAAGGTAACGTGGTTCCCACCAGAGTTGATTTAGCTAACCAATCACTCAGGCTCCCTCTCCAAGAAAGCGACGTCATTTTCTATCCCGATCACATCCTTGAAATTCCCTCCGATCACTACTCTTTCATTCTCGAATGCCAGATCCCGCGACTGGGACGATGTTCTTACTGGACACGCGGAGGAAAGTTTTGCAAGGACATGGAGCGTCGGGAATAAAAAATTAGGAAAGTTCTCTTTCTCAACCATAGATGAAGGTTCCAAAACTGGGGCCATAGCCTCACGCGGGGTGGTTAAGGTAAGACTAAGTGACGACATCTACTCTCTTTACTGACTCTGTATCCGATCATAGGCAGTTCATGTCACTGCGTGCGGAAATTTCGGCCTAGCTGCCGGGTCTACAGGAACCATACAGCTCTGGAGTATGCAGTCAGGCCTAAAGCGTAAATCCTTTGTTCTCGGCCCTGCTCCGGAAGAAGTCGACACCCGCTTCCAGCTATCTGTTGGTGGAACTGGCAAAGGAGGGAAAGGGAGAAGTGTTACTGGGCTGACTACCGATGCCTTGAACAAGGTTTTGGTAGTTGGCACCCTTGATGGAACTCTAAACGTGAGACGGGTCATCTCTTATACATACTGGCTAACATTGCACTTCTAGTTCTTCAATTTCCACAGTAAACAACTAGAAGAGACACAAGTACTTCCTTCGTCAATTGTATCGCTCTTACTTCACAGAGAGAGTAACCTCCTCGCAGTCGTATGTGATGACTTGACTATTCGAATGTTCGACCTGGAGACAAGGCGTTTGGTCAGAGAATTTTCTGGGTTCAAGGGAAGAATCTTAGATATCGTAGGTATTATAGGGAAAGAACTTCACTATCTTTCTAATACAAAGCTAGGCATTCTCACATGATTCAAGGTGGCTCATCGTGACATCGATCGATTCAGTCATCCGTACTTTTGATATCCCAAGCGGACAGTTGATTGATGCCTTTCGAACTCCGAGTATAGCCAACAGCGTGTCATTTTCCCCTACAGGAGACTTCTTGGCTACCTCCCACGTAGATTCTGTTGGTATTTACTTATGGTATGTTGGCATCTCTTTGTTTTTTGCTACCCTCTAATCCTAGATAGGGCCAATCGGGCTCAATATACCGAGGTCTCTTGGCGTTCTTCTAGAGAAGTAGAGCAAGATGTTCAACAAGATGCAGTAATGCCAACTCTTCAAGGCACCGAAGAGGAGGAAGGTCAGTGGAATGGATCAGATCTAAAGAGTTCTCGACACTCAACCGATCCTTTAGCCTTAGAAGGCCTGAGGAACCTGGGTATCATTGAGTCGTTGGACATCTTTAAGCGGCCTCAGGAGACCAAAGGAGACCTCATCGAGTTGACACTTCTACCCCGTGCAAGATGGCAGACATTATTGCACCTCGACGTCATCGGTGTAAGCAATAATTCTCCCCGTTAGAGTATTTACATTGATTAAGAGGCCGTTCATTAGCAACGCAATAAA